AGGCTTGTTAATTTTTCGATTTTTTTTTATTTCCTAGATATATATTTCTTGAGAGTCTCAGTTCAATTTGGTTCAAGTTTCAAGTACAGTTCTAATTTTGAATTAGTGAACGTGGACCATGTGATTTTTGACGAATTTTTCTATACACTACCGATTATGACATCAATAAAAAATGTACCAGAAACTCCAGAGTGGAAGAAAAACTAAAATTTTAGCTTTACAGAACATTTCGTCAATATTCACTATTTCAGAAACCGAACTATAGATAAACAAAAAAACTGTCGCTTTCTGAAATTTTTTAAAATGTCAAAAAAATAAAATTGAAGTTGTTCGGCATTGTTAAAAAGAAAAGCAACTTTGGTTTCTTTTTTTAATTCTATTTTTATTTTGGGATTTTGTGTCCTTAACTTTCGATATATGAATTGTTTTACACTTTTCATAACAAAATTATATTTTCGCCGATAGAGTATTTAATTTCAAAAGAAAATTAAACATTCAGTATAATTAATTAAAAAAAATCAATCAGCTGATATGTCACTAATTTGACAAGATAAAAAAATAAAAAAAAAAATGAAATTTTTTGCAGAATTTCTAACACTAAACCAGCACTATTTTAGATATTTTGGGCGCGTTATAGTTCCGGTTTTGACTAAGTGAACATGGATTGTTGTAATTTTAATGCATTTTTCTCAAAACTGAGGATTATAGTAATAAAAATATCGACCAATAAGTATATTCATTTTAAAAATAAAGGAAAAAAATGAGAAATCGTAACTCTATGAAATTATTAATTATTATTAAACAGGTTTGCACTTCTAGGCTTGTTAATTTTTCGATTTTTTTTTATTTCCTAGATATATATTTCTTGAGAGTCTCAGTTCAATTTGGTTCAAGTTTCAAGTACAGTTCTAATTTTGAATTAGTGAACGCGGACCATGTGATTTTTGACGGATTTTTCTATACACTACGGATTATGACATCAATAAAAAATGTACCAGAAACTCCAGAGTGGAAGAAAAACTAAAATTTTAGCTTTACAGAACATTTCGTCAATATTCACTATTTCAGAAACCGAACTATAGATAAACAAAAAACCTGTCGCTTTCTGAAATTTTTTAAAATGTTAAAAAAATAAAATTGGAAGTTGTTCGGCATTGTTAAAAAGAAAAACAACTTTGGTTTCTTTTTTTAATTCTACTTTTATTTTGGGATTTTGTGTCCTTAACTTTCGATATATGAATTGTTTTACACTTTTCATAACAAAATTATATTTTCGCCGATAGAGTATTTAATTTCAAAAGAAAATGAAACATTCAGTATAATTAATTAAAAAAAATCAATCAGCTGATATGTCACTAATTTGACAAGATAAAAATAAATTAAAAAAAAAATGAAATTTTTTGCACAATTTCTAACACTAAACCAACACTATTTTAGATATTTTGGGCGCGTTATAGTTCCGGTTTTGAATAAGTGAACATGGATTGTTGTAATTTTAATGAATTTTTCTCAAAACCAAGGATTACAGTAATAAAAATATCGACCAATAAGTATATTCATTTTAAAAATAAAGGAAAAAAATGAGAAATCGTAACTCTATGAAATTATTAATTATTTTTAAACAGGTTTGCACTTCTAGGCTTGTTAATTTTTCGATTTTTTTTTATTTGCTAGATATATATTTTTTGAGAGTCGCAGTTCAATTTGGTTCAAGTTTCAAGTACAGTTCTAATTTTGAATTAGTGAACGTGGACCATGTGATTTTTGACGGATTTTTCTATACACTACGGATTATGACATCAATAAAAAATGTACCAGAAACTCCAGAGTGGAAGAAAACTAAAATTTTAGCTTTACAGAACATTTCGTCAATATTCACTATTTCAGAAACTGAACTATAGATAAACAAAAAACCTGTCGCTTTCTGAAATTTTTTAAAATGTTAAAAAAATAAAATTGGAAGTTGTTCGGTATTGTTAAAAAGAAAAACAACTTTGGTTTCTTTTTTTAATTCTATTTTTATTTTGGGATTTTGTGTCCTTAACTTTCGATATATGAATTGTTTTACACTTTTCATAACAAAATTATATTTTCGCCGATAGAGTATTTAATTTCAAAAGAAAATGAAACATTCAGTATAATTAATTAAAAAAAAACAATCAGCTGATATGCCACTAATTTGACAAGATAAAAATAAATTTACAAAAAAATGAAATTTTTTGCACAATTTCTAACACTAAACCAACACTATTTTAGATATTTTGGGCGCGTTATAGTTCCGGTTTTGACTAAGTGAACATGGATTGTTGTAATTTTAATAATTTTTTCTCAAAACTGAGGATTATAGTAATAAAAATATCGACCAATAAGGATATTCATTTTAAAAATAAAGGAAAAAAATGAGAAATCGTAACTCTATGAAATTATTAATTATTTTTTAACAGGTTTGCACTTCTAGGCTTGTTAATTTTTCGATTTTTTTTTATTTGCTAGATATATATTTCTTGAGAGTCTCAGTTCAATTTGGTTCAAGTTTCAAGTACAGTTCTAATTTTGAATTAGTGAACGTGGACCATGTGATTTTTGACGAATTTTTCTATACACTACGGATTATGACATCAATAAAAAATGTACCAGAAACTCCAGAGTGGAAGAAAAACTAAAATTTTAGCTTTACAGAACATTTCGTCAATATTCACTATTTCAGAAACCGAACTATACATAAACAAAAAACATGTCGCTTTCTGAAATTTTTTAAAATGTTAAAAAAATAAAATTGGAAGTTGTTCGGTATTGTTAAAAAGAAAAACAACTTTGGTTTCTTTTTTTAATTCTATTTTTATTTTGGGATTTTGTGTCCTTAACTTTCGATATATGAATTGTTTTACACTTTTCATAACAAAATTATATTTTCGCCGATAGAGTATTTAATTTCAAAAGAAAATTAAACATTCAGTATAATTAATTAAAAAAAAACAATCAGCTGATATGTCACTAATTTGACAAGATAAAAATAAATTTACAAAAAAATGAAATTTTTTGCACAGTTTCTAACACTAAACCAACACTATTTTAGATATTTTGGGCGCGTTATAGTTCCGGTTTTGACTAAGTGAACATGGATTGTTGTAATTTTAATGCATTTTTCTCAAAACTGAGGATTATAGTAATAAAAATATCGACCAATAAGTATATTCATTTTAAAATTAAAGGAAAAAAATGAGAAATCGTAACTCTATGAAATTATTAATTATTTTTAAACAGGTTTGCACTTCTAGGCTTGTTAATTTTTCGATTTTTTTTTATTTGCTAGATATATATTTCTTGAGAGTCTCAGTTCAATTTGGTTCAAGTTTCAAGTACAGTTCTAATTTTGAATTAGTGAACGTGGACCATGTGATTTTTGACGGATTTTTCTATACACTACGGATTATGACATCAATAAAAAATGTACCAGAAACTCCAGAGTGGAAAAAAAACTAAAATTTTAGCTTTACAGAACATTTCGTCAATATTCACTATTTCAGAAACCGAACTATAGATAAACAAAAAAACTGTCGCTTTCTGAAATTTTTTAAAATGTCAAAAAAATAAAATTGAAGTTGTTCGGCATTGTTAAAAAGAAAAGCAACTTTGGTTTCTTTTTTTAATTCTATTTTTATTTTGGGATTTTGTGTCCTTAACTTTCGATATATGAATTGTTTTACACTTTTCATAACAAAATTATATTTTCGCCGATAGAGTATTTAATTTCAAAAGAAAATTAAACATTCAGTATAATTAATTTAAAAAAATCAATCAGCTGATATGTCACTAATTTGACAAGAAAAAAATAAATTTCAAAAAGACTGAGATTTTTTGCACAATATAAAACAGTAAAACAACACTGTTTCAGGCATTTTGGGCGAGTTATAGTTCCGGTTTTGAATGAGTGAACATGGACTATATTACTTTTAACAAATTTTTCTCTATACTGAGGATTATAACAATAAAAATATACAACAATAAGTATATTTATTTTAAAAATAAAGGGAAAAAAAGCAGAAATCGTAACGTAAATATTTTGCGATATAAAAAATAGCTTTAATTTGTTTTCAATGGCACAAACTGCAGAAAACCATCACAATATTTCACTGGAAATTTTTAACGTAGCCATAAAAGACGCTTCTAAATTGTGCACAGTGTATAAACTTGGCTTTTAGTCACACTTGTGACGTCAGCGTCATTAATGAAAACGCTGCCACTTTAAAAATAAATCATGTTATTTCCAATCAGACGAGCCACAGCTTACGTAGACACCATATTTTGTGCATTATTTAAATAAAACACAAAAATTTGTACATACAGTAACGTTTCAAATTACTAATGGAAATCATCAAATTTCAATTGTCTATTACAAATTTCGCTTGAAATTAGAAGGAAGTTCTAGATTAAGCCGTTAAGTATATTTTAATGAATTTTAACTTTGTTGTAACTTTTGTTGTAACGAGCCATCCTGTATATTTCTCCACGTGTTTTGCTTGTTTACACTACACCAAAAAAATTGTAAACGCAAACCATGCATTAACTACCAATTTGAATGATAAATTGTCAAAATGTACAATAAAAATTCCGTTTACGTTTATCAAAAAGCCGACTACGTCAACACGTGAATCATCTTTTTAACCACTATTTCCGTTTTTGCATTGTTTTTAAAAAGCAAAAACAATCAAAATTGATCTCCAACAAAAACACAAACAATAATTCTAACAAAACCCCGAAATTACCATTCAGACACATCGTAAAAAAAATGACGCAAGATATTAACCTTTGTCCCATCAGAATCTCAAAACCGCCGCCAGGTCATTATCTTTCCATGTGACCGTACTATGAACCAGCTGACTCACGTCCTCAATGCGCATGCGTCAACCAATGACGTTACAACAACTTTCATGCCATCCATTTAACAAACTATTGTGCAATAAATACTAAAAACTGCCCCTGTAAAACCACCACCTTACCTTCTTGCCCCTGCACGTCGTACACCTATCCTTCTCCTTGATCAGGATTCCGTCCCCTAGACAGTCCGTACACTCTGACTGGATCTGCTGCGCCATCCCCGGAGCAATCTGGTGATACACCACTTTGAACCCCCTGCCCTTGCACCCGGGACACTGCTCGAAGTTCTCGCTGCGACCGCCCTTGCCCTTGCACGCGCCGCAGATCACATTCTTACTCAGCTGCAGCTTGGACGTCTTCCCGTTGTACAGGTCCTCGAGGGACACCTTGAGCGGGTGCACCGTGTCCTCGCCCTTGTGCCGCCGCCGGTGCGGCCCCCCGAAACCGCCGAAGCCCCCGAACAGCCCGCCGCCGAACAGGTGCGAGAACAGGCTGTCGCCCGCGAAGCCGTCCTGCGCCCCTTGCTGCATGCCTTTGAGGCCATACTTGTCGTAGACCTGGCGCTTCTTGGGGTCGGAGAGGACCTCGTACGCGTACGAGATCTCCTTGAACTTGTCCCCGGCCTCGGGGTTCTTGTCGGGGTGGAATTCTTTGGCCAGGCGCCGGTAGCTCTGGAAAAAACGCAAGATTTGGGCGATTGGTGGTGCTGGCCTTGGCGAAATTCGTGACGTCGGTGATCGGCGGCGCGATTTTCGCTGGGGGCGCGCGGGTGGGAGAGGAAGGTGTGCGGGGTGGAATCGAGGGGGTTACCTTTTTAATTTCGCCGTCTGAAGCGTTTCGGCTCACTCCGAGGACGTCGTACAACTTGTTGTCTGCCATCTTTCTAAACAAGGAATGAGAAATGACAGAACGCCTGCGTCGGAGGGAGTGGTGCCAACGGAAGGGGTGAAACTCACTAGACGGGTTTGAGTGTGGGGGTGCGACGAAACTGAAATACTAGTTTCGAAGACGAATTAATGTAATGGGAATGGAGACTGTAACGTAGAAGTATGGACACGGCTAAACTGCGACATGAAAATGGGATTTTCTGGTTGTAAGTGGCACGCAAAGGTCGTTCTGCAGAGGGCGCCACTATCTACGACACAGTGCTACCAACAACACAAATTTCACTAAAAGGAGGAACCTTCCAATTTTTTGGGTGGAAGCGGGAAGTGTGAATGAACTTCCGCAAAATTTGAATATTTCCGTGTCGATTATGATAAGATTAAAATCAACAAAATTACAGCTTGGAAACAATGTTTTTATGTTTTAGCAGCGTTCTCTAAAAGCAATACGTTTTACGGTGTCATTATACAATTTTTTGTAACGTTTTTTGTGTTCACATTTCTTCAAAATATTTTAAATATGCATCAAACAACAAACATACACTTATATCTAGTGTTAAAAATGAATAGTGCTTTGTATTTACTGCATAATAAGGGTATTCCCCTAAGTGACTCTTTGTATTTCCCCACGGAAACGTCGCAACTTATCTCCGTTATCAGAAAAAAAGTTACAACCGTTTCAGATTTCAAAGACTTTGTTTTTATTTATAACAGTGGAACGAATTTTGCTTACTCGTCCCATTTGAAACGTATAATGCACGGAAGAATATTTTTTATTTGTTTAAATGGATTAAATAAATTCTGGAACGACAGACGTTTAATTTCTCGTTTTATTTATTTTTATTAAATATCAAAAAACTGCAAAATTACAAAATTAAAAAAATGGATAATTGTAAAATCGAAAAGGACTATTGCTGGCTTATAAAAACTCTATAAAGAAAAGATAAATTTAGCCCCGCCCACCCACCCCTATTCCGTTTTGATGATTCATTATATTGATGGAAGTTGAATTTAAAATAATACAATCTAGATTTACCACGAAATAAATCTTATAGCATATAGTATAACAAAAAAAAAAAATAGCGTGTTCTCTCTTTTTTTCCCACTCTAGACAAGAACATATAATTAGCTCCGCCCACCCACTCCGCCTCTATTTCAGTGATTGATTTGATCTGATCAGAATGAACGGTGAATCTTATACTGAATAGAAATAAAACTCGTCGTTAGAGTGAAAAGTTCGCGGGTGGGCGGGGCTAAGATAAAATTGATTTTAGCAGTTGACATACCCTCAAGAAAATAGAGGGCGGGTGGGCGGGGCTAGTCCTTGCTAAGATAAGACTGAACAATATTAAGAGTAGTCATTGCAGTGAACAGGGTGTGGATGGGCGGGGCCACTTTAATGACTTATTTGATTTTCTGTAAAATGGAAATTGAATTCTATTTTGACAAGCAGTAGAGTCTAAAACTTAAAACAAAGTCAAACGTGGCCCCGCCCACCTACCCGTATCCGGTTTTGAAGACTCATTTTATTGGCTCTGCGACGGAAGTTGAATTTTATATTGACAAATAATAATAGAACCTAAGATGACTTTTTTTTTAATAAAAAAATCACACAATTATAAACGCCGCCCTTCTCCGGGATTTATCAAAGTGGGTGGAGCTTGTACGAATGGGAGGAGTATCGGTTATATTGTGTTTTAAATATGATTCCCACGATTTAATGGATTTGCCTAAGATTCTAATAAGAAAACAATATTGTCATCGACTAACGATTTCAAGAGTAGTCATTAGATTCAAGAGGGGGTGGGCGGGTGGACAGGGCTATTTCTTACTTATAAGACTGTATAGAAAAATGTTAAACTTAGGTCCGCCCACCCACCCGTTCTCTTATTTAAATTTTCTTTTGAAGTAAGAAATAAATGTTATAGCAAATAGTATAATAAAAAATTTACGATTATGGCTTTCTTTACTTTTACATTTTTTTCCAATTAGTTTCCACTCCCACACGACAGAAGAAAATAAATAACCCCACCCACCCGCCCCGCCTCGATTTCAATGATTGGTTTTATCTGGTCAGATTGAACGGTGGACCTTATACTGAACAGAAATAAAATTAGTCGTTAGAGTGAAAAGTCCGCGGGTGGGCGGGGCTACTACTTGCTAAGATAAGACTGATTTTAGCAGATGACATATCCTTAAGAAAACAGAGGGCGGGTGGGCGGGGCTAGTTCTTGCTAAGATAAGACTAGTTATGGCCAATGACATACCTTCTAAGAAAACAGAGGGCGCGTGGGAGAGGCTAGTTTGCTAAGAAAAGAGTGGTTTTGGCAAATGGCATATCCTCCAAGAAAATAAAGGGTGGATGGGTGGGGGTAGTTTTTGCTAAGATAAGACTAGTTATGGCCAATGACATACCTTCTAAGAAATCAGAGGGAGAGTGGGCGAGGCTAGTTGTTGCTGACATAACATCGATTTTGGCAAATGACGTGGCCTCTAGAAAAATGGAGGGCGGGTGGGTGGGGCTAGTTCTTGCTAAGTTAAGACTGGTTTTGGCAGATGACATACCTTCTAAGAAAATAGAGGGAGGGTGGGCGGGGCAAGTTTTTGCTAAGATAAAACTGATTTTGACAAATAATGAACCCTATAAGAAAATACTTAGATGAATATGAATACCCTAGATTGTCCACAATATTGTCGAATATTAGAAATATAGAAATCAATTTAAATTCCACCCATTGATCAGTGATTAACAAAACGACGGGAAAGTGACTTAGATTCTCTATGCTCTAGATGTCTTCTAAACTCCGTAGATTCTGTACATTATTTTCTCTAGATTCTCACTCCCTAGATTGTCTAGGCTGTCTAGATTTTCTAAAAATATCCATATTGTCTATAAATCTTCTAGACACTCTCTAGCTTCTATAGGCAAAAGTTAGAGTCTAATCGATTTGAATTCTCTAGTTTCTCTAGGCTATCTGTAGTTTCCAGATATTATACTCTATAGATTGATACTTCCGATTCTTTGCTATAGATTTTGTAAAGTTTCTAGATACTTTAGATTCTCTATGCTCTGGACATCTTCTAAACTCTGTAGATTATTTTCTCTAGGTTCTTAATCCCTAAATTGTGTAGATTTTCTAAAATCTGCATGTTCTCTAAGATCTCTATAATGTAGACTTGCTAGATTTTATAAATTTTTTGGGCTCTCTAGCTACTATAGACTCTGTGATAAAGCATTTAGACACTAAGCGCCTTTAATTCTATAGTTTCTCTAGATTGCCTGTATTTCTAGATCCAATAAATACTCTATAGGTACTTTTGATTTTTTTAGACTCTACGGTTTCTAAAATCTCTAGATTCTCTATGCTCTGGATACTCTCTTAACTCCATTGATTTTCTAAATTATTTCCTGCAGATTCTTAATCTCTAAATTGTGTAGGTTATGAAAATATAATTTGAATAAAAAAATCTAGAAATCAATTAAAGTTCCAGTAGTTTGTAGATACTCTAGATTACCAATGCTCTGGAGACTCTTTAGACTCCGTGGACTTTCTAAGTTCTCTGTAGATCCTCAAATCCCTAAATTGTGGAAGATTTCTGAAATCTTCACATTTTCTAAGATCTACATAATCTAGACTTGCTAGATTTCATAGATTTTTTGATTTCCTAGCTACTGTAGGCTCTATAAAATATTTAGACTTGAAATGGTTTAGATATTCTAGTTTCCCTAGGCTCTCTGTAGTTTCTAGAGACTATACTCTATAGATCTTTCAGACTTTTTAGGCTCTTTTCGGAATTTAAACTCTCTAGATTCTATACGTTTTTTAGGGGTTGTAGTTACTTTATAATGTCTATAAAAAAGAGGCCGTCTAGACTTTGTCGATTTTCTGGACTCTACATGCTCTAGTTTTGATATATATATATATATATAATATAAATAGGTAAAACTCCATATATAATGGGTAATTACTAAAAAACGAAAAATATATGGTACTTTCTTGTTTTAAATAAGATCTGACGATATAAAAGATTATCTATGCTCTGGAGACGCTCTAAAATCTGTGCAGATTTCCAAATCTCCAAATTGTGTAGACTGTTCAGATTTTCTAAAGTCTCCATATTGTCTAATCTCTGTAAGCTAGACTTGCTAGATTTTATAGATTCTTTGGGTTCTGTAGCTATGACGGGAAAGTGACTTAGATCCTCTATGCTCTAGATGTCCTCCAAACTCCGTAGATTCTGTACATTATTTTCTCTAGATTCTCTAGATTGTCTAGGCTGTCTAGGTTTTCTAAAGATATCCATATTCTCCAAGATCTCTATAACCTAAACTTGATAGATTTTATAGATCTTCTGGACACTCTAGTTTCTCTAGGCTATCTGTAGTTTCCAGATACTATACTCTATAGATTGATACTTCCGATTTGTTTCTACAAATTTTGTAAAGTTTCTATATATCCTAAATAAAGTTTCAAGATACTTTAGCTTCTCTATGCTCTGGACATCTTCTAAACTCTGTAGATTCTTTTCTCTAGGTTCTTAATCCCTAAATTGTGTAGATTTTCTAAAATCTGCATATTCTCTAAGATCTCTATAATGTAGACTTGCTAGATTTTATAAATTTTTTGGGCTCTATAGCTACTATAGGCTCTATGATAAAGCATTTAGATACTAAGCGCCTTGAATTCTCTAGTTTCTCTAGACTGCCTGTATTTCTAGATTCTATAAATCCTCTATAGGTACTTTCGATTTTTTTGACTCTACGGTTTCTAAAATCTATAGATTCTCTATACTCTGGATACTTTCTTAAATCCATAGATTTTCCAAATTATTTCCTGTAGATTCTTAATCTCTATTAAATTGTGTAGGTTTACTAAAAATTTCCATATTCTGTAAGATCTCTATAATAAGATCTTCGACTCTGCATGCTCTAGCTTTGATATATGTATAAAATATAAATTGGTAAAACTCCATATATAATGGGTAATTACTAAAAAACCGAGAAATATATGGTACTTTCTTGTTTTAAATAAGATCTAAACGTATAAAAGATTATCTATGCTCTAGAGACGCTCTAAAATCTGTGCAGATTTCCAAATCTCTAATTGTGTAGACTGTTCAGATTTTCTAAAGTCTCCATATTGTCTAATCTCTGTAATCTAGACTTGCTAGATTTTATAGATTCTTTGGGTTCTGTAGCTATGACGGGAAAGTGACTTAGATTCTCTATGCTCTAGATGTCCTCTCA